CAGCACCATCGTGGGCGTTGGAGCGAGGTTCAAGCTTAAGCGGGGCCGGCTTAGCCTGGTGTTCATGGGGAAGGATTCCCCGACGCCGGGCGTGCTGTTGAGGATCGACCACACCAAGTCCAAGGTAGAATACATGTCGCTGTGCAGACTATAATAGTGATTGCCCCCCCGTCGCCCCGTCCCAGCGTGTTTATGGATAACTAGAAGTTGTCTTTGATACTTTTTTTTAAAAGTCCAAAATGGTGTTTTAAGATTTATTAGTTGACTTGTTTTGAAAAATGAGTATAGGGTCATCCGTGCAAGAACCCCCCACCCCCACCCCCACCCCTGTGCTAGAGTTTGGATGCTTTTCGTCCTCCCCGTCTTCGACTCTGGCGGTCTGTGGTCGAAGTAATACTGCATGCATGTCGAGGTCACGACTCCCCCCCACCCCCCCCCTGTTGGAAGAACCTCGCCCCCTGTGGTTTTGTCTACCCTTACCCGTGATGTCGACATCAAATCTTTGCTGCAACACCGGCCGTGTGGCATGGCAATGGCATCGCATACACGTCACCCCCCCCGCATCCCCCTGACCACCTTTTGTTGGTTCCGATCGCCGTCTATTTTTTTGGCGTGTGTGCGGCGACGGCGGCGGTGGCTTCCAGGTGTACAACGCTCTACGCCGTCTCGAGTGGCAGACCAACCGGGAGGTAGACAAGGCCGTCAACAACCTCATGGCTTCGTCGAACAAGGGTGGTGTGGACAGCACGCAGTTCAAGGCGAAGAAGACTGTGTTCAGAGAGTCGCAGAAGCTGGACGGCGGGCAGCAGGTGCAGGCTGTCATGGCCGGCTGGAAGTGCTCCACGTACCAGTACCTCGGGAGCATGCAGATGAAGGTGATCTTTTTCTATTGTTTTTGTCATTTGTGAGCATGATTTTTTTTTTTTTAAGGGAAGACAAGAAGAAAAAAATGCAGATAAAGGCGAGTTTTCTTCTTTTTTTGTGTTCGTGTGTGTTTGTGCTCTACGTACCAGTACCTCGGGAGCATGCAGATGAGGGGAAGCTTTTTTTTTCTCGTTTCCTGTGTTGTTCGGTGGATTGAACCTGGTTCTGTCGTGTTGTAGTGGGGTGGTCAGATGAGGCAGGCAAGCGCACCTTTCGAGCCAAGGGGTCTGCCGGCCTTGGTGCAGTGTGTGCACCCCACGCGACTTAGGTATGGGGGCCCCCGCACATACGATCTCCTTTTCTGCGGAGGGGTTGGGGTCAGGTAGCAGCAACAGAAGTAGGACTTGAATTAAGTCTCTTGGCTCTGACCGTCTGCCTCTTCAGCTTTGCGCGCACTCACAGAGGCCATGATCGCCTATACCCTCAGGCATGACATGAAATCATTGCAACACTGGATCACATGCCGTGTGGCACCGCACCGCATCCACGTCACCTCGCTCACCCCCCCCCCCCTCCCACACCGAACGTCCAGACCACTCGGAAAGGGGGCAACGTGGTACAGTACGTGCCGAAGGACATGTACTTCGACTTTAGAGGAGAGAAGCCACTGCTGGCCAAGGCAAAGGAGGCCATAGCAAGGGAGGAGGCCGCCCCCGCCGCTGGGGGGGGGGGGGGGGGGCGTCGCGGGGGGCCTGAGGAAGGGCGTCGGGTCGAGCATGTTCCAGAAACCGTTCTGGAAGAACAACCCGGACCTTAACGAAGACAAGGTGAGTCGGGATGGGTTATTCGTTAGCCGGGGTAGGGTTTGCCGGAGGTAGGGTGGGTTTTCCGAGTAAGGTAGCCGAGCGTGTTGTTTTGCTTACTGTTGGGGCCGAGCGTACTATTTTCGGTGTTCGTGTCTTTGTTGTGGCCGTGCGAGACCTGTAGAAGACGTCGCCACTTAGAAGAACCCGGGCGTTTTGAAATCCAGGCTCGAATATCGGATATTTACCATAAGAACAGGTCCTCTGTTTTAGCATCCTACTCCTTCTGTCATCGATGTTGGGACACCCAACAGAGGAAATAAGACTTGAGCCTCCGCGGGCAAATACTAAGAGCTTTCTAAAGGTGTTGGTGCTCGGGATAGGTATCCAGAGTCTTTTCGTGATTGGGCGGTCAGTGGTGTTTGCGTTTGGTGCTGCCGTCATTACGAGTCAGATCGAATCGAAGAGATTTATGTGTTCCTCGAGAGGGTGTCGAGCTTTCCGCCGGGTGTGCTTTGCGTTCTGTCATGTGTGTTGCGATTTTTTTGTTTTGCGCGCTGGTGTTGTTGGAACGATACGGGTGTGTGGCCGGGTGAGATTTACGGGCAAGGAAGAAGCGTAGGTGCCAAAACATGTGGCTGTGTACACTGTGTTCTTGGCTTCGTTGCAAGTGGGCCTTTGTTGTTGTCATGTCAGTCAAAAGATGCTGTCGCTCGTGCCCAGGCGTTTTCTCTTCCTGTCAATCAATCAATCAATGACATCTAAAGTTGCTGTCGCTGTGGTAAGGCGTTTTCTCTTCCTGTCAATCAATTAATCAATAACATCAAGATCAAGATGTCATTGTTGTTCGTTGGTTTTGTGGCTCCTCCTGTGTCGCTTTCCTGCTGTAATTATCGTGGCGAAACACGTCTTATGTTTGACAGGCCACATACAGCAGCTTCTTTGGTCTGTTTCTCGGGGAAGCGTGAACCTAACCCGCCCTTTGGCGTGTCTACTATGGCTTTGCTTTCTCAACAGGTACACCGTCAGATCAACAAGCAGGTGAAGGCGACTGTGTGGATGGCGCACGACTACCCCCTCAAGCTCAAGCACATCATGCCGGCTCTGGAGATCCTTTCCGTCAGGGTGAGTCAGCCGTTAACGCTGCTGTTGCTGTTTCCACATCTGTTTCTCCCGTCCGTCAGGATGAGTTAGCCGTTAACCCTGCTGTTGCCGTTTCCACGTCACGTTTCTCCCTCCATCAGGTTGAGTTCGCGCTTGCCGCTTGTTTGTTGTTGCTGTATCCACAGTGTCGGGCAGGGTGAAAGTTCGCTGTATCCACGGCGATAGTTTGGTGTTGGTTTGTTTCATCCCAGGCTGATGCCAACTCGCGGGAGACGAGCTTGAAACGCGCATACGCAACCCAAGGTTGAGGAAATATAATCATCATCATCTTCTCAACCCTGTTGAGGGTTGTTTCCCTGTTTCAAGGTCGTCTACCGAGAGTTGGAATCAACCCGCGCGAAGTAAACGAACACCAAATAGTTCATCGTAGCCAGTTCCACGCAACCGCTCTCTCTGAAATAGGCTTGTCCCTTCGGACCCACCCTAAGCCTGCCGCTACTAATGTGTAGACTTTCTAGAACTAATTGCCATCTACTAATAGTTGGAGAGCAATTTCAATCCCCCGCTGCTTCCTACGCCCGTCGTTCGACGCTTACCCCGCCTGCTCCTCCCGCCTCCTCCCGCCTACCGTGGCTCTTATCCGTTGCCTGCCGCGTTTTACAGGACGACATGGCCGCAAGGCTTCGCTCCGTTCTCTCCCTTGCCGGGATCCCTCAGGAAGGATTCCCTGTGAAGGTGTGTTGTGTTGTGTTGTGTTGTGTTGTGTGTATGTTGATCTATGATCTATATACCTGTACGGTAGTCGTCCGTCCCCGCCTTAAGGACGCACGTGATCTTAGTTCAAAACAATTTGCGCTTAAATTAATCGGGGGAACTGTCCTTCGTTTTCTCCTACTGTGGGGGCATCATGCTTCTGTTATGGCATTGTCCTTAATCCAGCATGTGTTGTTAGTTCTGGTGTGTGCTTTGAACCGAGGACGGCTGTTATTCCGTCTCCGGCGATAACTAAGTCATGATGATTTCGGTGAAACAAAGTTTTGCCTCCGAAAGGCGCCATGGTTATCTATCTAACCCTAAGTCGGTTGCGTCGTACGGGGCGTCCCCCCACCCCCAAATGGAGGCCACAACAAGAAGCAACAAAACAAGCGCCCGAATATTGGCTATGTAGCCCGTCACCGAATAGAAGGAAGATGATGTTCCTTATCCTTCTCCAAAGGGAGTAGTGGAATAAATATGGTATACGACTACTATTGTATATTGAACAACTTTTCATGATCCCCCGCCCCCCCCCTCCTACCGTTGCGCGGCGCCCCAAAACAGGTTTCCGTGCCCCTGATGATGACCGTGAAAGCTGTCGTCACCTTCGAGAACTTCAGGTCCGACGGCATCGATGCCAGCAACTTCGTGATCCCGAGCGACTATCACCGGTCACGCCGCATGTCGAAGGAGAAGTATATCGCCGGGGTTGGGACCGGAGGGGAAGGCGGCGGCGGCGGGGGGGGCGGGCGGCAGAACATGGACAGGGGTGCCTCGGGCAATTTCGAGTCGGACGACGAGGAGGAGGAGGAGGAGGAAGGCGTGTTTGTGACGGAGGCCGGCGTCAGCGAGAGGGAGCTGTTGAGGAGACGGGCGGCGTCTCGGAACGCGTTCGATGACGACGAGGTGTGTTGTTGTTGTTGTTGTTGTTGTTGTTGTTGTTGTTGTTATTGTTGTTTGTCTTGACGTTATGATCCGTTTCCTTGGTGCTTCCTTGGCTTGATGCACGTCACCACGCCGTGGTCCGTGAATCATGACCCGCACCAAGCCAAAGGCGCTATTTAAGGTTTCGAGAAAAGGCACCTCAGCTGCTGCCGAGCCTGCTGTTGTGCTTGCTTCGTGTCTTTATTTTCTCCCTTTGTCCTAATCCACCGATGGCAATACACGCGGTGAAGTTGCCCTACGTAGCCCTCCTACGTCGAGTGATGTTTTACTTCAGCGCCTCTCGCCCCACCATATACCTTGTTTGTTTTGTTTTGTGTTGTCCCTTAATCCCGGCCAACCGTTGGTATTTTTAAGCCCATAATGTAACATATGCTTTTGTTGTCGCCCACCCGCCGCCAATGTCATCGTTCGTCGCCATGCCCCCCTTCTTTATTTTTTTCTTGACCCTCAGGAGGACGATTCTGACTTCGATGAAGACGACATGTCCGATGAGGGAACGACGCCGGCATCCTCACCCCGACGAAGAAAGAGCTTGACCAATGGCAACGGCAGCGGCACCAACGGCGAGATGTCAGACCCTCAGTCTCCCCTCGCCAGAGGGCAGCCAACGAGTCAAGCGCAGGTGTGTGTGTGACGTGTGAGAGACAAACTCAGAGAGTAGACAGACAGAGACAGACGGAGAGAGAGAGAGACAGACAGACAGACAGACAGACAGACAGACAGACAGAGACGGACGGACGGACAGACAGGCAGAGGGAGAGGGAGAGGGAGAGGTTAAATAGCCGGGGGGGTCGTTTTTTCTACTGGTTTTATGTTTTATACTTCGGTGGTTATGCAAATCGTTTGTCCCCCCCCTGCCGGCCAGATGTTGTACCTTGAAGCGAGCACAAATGACTCGGTTTAACCGAAGTCAACAATAGCTTGAGCCTGAAGCTTTGTTGCAACCCCCCCCCCCCCCCGGCCCTCCGAACTCAAGGCCCCGGGTCGGGGAAAAAAACCCCCCCCCCCCGGGGGGGGCCTTCGGGGTTTCCACCCGGCCCCCCCTCCTCCGAAGGGAGAAGGAAAAAGGAACCCTCCCAAAAAATACAACAGCGGGCAAAAGCTTCCGCTCCAACCCCCGGGCCAACCCTGAGCAACGACAGCCCCGAACGGGGAGGGGGGCCCCCGAGTGGGAACCCCCGGGGGGGGGGGCCCAAAAAGGGCCTCCGGGGGGGGGGGGGGGGTTCCCCCCCCAAAAGGGGGCCAAAAAAAGTTTTGGAAGGGGGGGGGGGGGTTCTACTCCAGGGGGACCTTCGGGGCCGGGAAGGGGAAATCCCCCCGGAGGGGGGGGGGCCCCCGGCCTTTTGTGAAAAAAGGGAGGGGGGGGGCCCCCC